ATCCATAGCTATTCATAAAAGCAATATTAAGCCCGCTGGATGTGGAGAAACACTATGGGCTTCACCGTTTTGGAGAACTGAAACAATCTCGTTCGAAAGAATTCCGACCCATAATGACCACATTGGCTATATGATGTGCACTTACTGGATAAAGGTGAGATTTTTTTTGAAGAAAATGAGCCTAACCTCCAAATTGATATCTGTCCTTACCGACTGTCCTAAATGGGGCCAGATCCCGGCAGAACGCGAGTGGGAAAACGTTCCATCCAGACCTGCATTAATCCACTATTTAGGAGCCACTATTTATTTTCTAAGGAGGATGAACTCTGAACAAGTGAAACATTCCCGTAGTAGTAAACAGGTGGTTCGCAACAATGGAAGTTCAATATCCCCAACTCAAACAAAGTACCACTACAATTTTTCAGGCTCCATCCAGAAGAAACATTCAAATACGCGTAATCGCAGTACCGGCGACCCTTTGCGAGTACGGGTGTACTAAAAATGCCATTGAACCGAAGATTCTGAAGGATAAAAGGGCAACGAATCCCAGGTTGATAGTGGGTGAGGAATAAGGCTCTCCCACTGAGAAATGATGTATTTCAGGATTTGTTGCCGGGAACAGCTCTATGAAATCCTTACCAGTAAACTCAATCCCGCGCCGATCTTCTCGTACAGCATGAACACGACGTCCACATTCACGTTCCAATATAAATACATCTGATTTTTTGTCAGTTCCGCAAAAATAAATTCTGCATTTTTTGTTCTGTCGACAGCCAGGCGATCATATTGAATTAAGCTCAGTTAACTAAAGATTCTTGCCAAAGTCAATCGAAAAGGGTTCATGGTGCAAACTTTGTATAGTCGTAACCAGTAGTGTTCAAACCTCGGGACATGGCCCTTCAACAAAAGCAACCTCGCTTGCACATTGAGCTGAATTCCCGATTCATGTCAGAGCGAATAGAGTCAATCAGTTCATGGACCGTCATCTCGGCATAATTGAAACTGATCGGCTTTTGAATGGGCTCAACCATATTGCATTCGCTGGTGCGAGCACAGGTCTCTAGCCCTTTCCTGCTATTAAAGAACGGTTCGAACAACTTCACTGTAACTTCAGAGTACGACGGTACGTTCCAGAAAATATCATCTAGAGAGGGCAGAAGCACATAGCTTCTGCAAAGAACCTATTAAGGGTCCATAAAATCGAATGTCGCTCTAGATTGTTATAAATTTGAATGTGCACTGTGTTCGTGCCTCTACCAACCTCGCTAGCTCGTTAACCATTTTATGGTGCACATTACATAGTAATTTTTTGAAGAAAGGTCCAAACTTTACAGAACTTTTGTTACGTAGGCAGAATAGATAATGGCAGTGGAAATCAGGTAAAAGTTCTTTGTAAAGTTTCTTTCAGGTCTAGCGCTAATCCAGAAATCTAGAAAAAGAGTTAGAAATCTAAAGGATTCTGAACATAGACGAATTGCTCTATGAAAATTTGAAGCCTGAACCATCTGTAAATAACTGGTATTTCAGGCATCGATCGCAAAACATATCCAAGATAAGATGATCGGTGTGCTACTCCTCCTCATGGTGCTGTTCGAAAACAGCTTCTGTCTTTCAGAGAAGGGCAGAATTGCACTGACTAAGGTAGGCTACCAAAAGTTCTCTGAATAACATACATATGTGCATGAAAAATTCCATAGCCGAAGCAGCGCAAGTTTGTTTGCTTCTCTTCCATTCAGTTACCCCTCCGTGACCGAATGTCGCCCAGCTTTGTATGTAGACATAGTGTGCTCAAAAAGCCAAGAGGAAGGATCTATTCATATATTATGTTCAGGCTTATGGAGGTATGGACATAGAGAAATGTCATGAAAGACTGAAAAAGTTTGGCAGGAAAGGCTGGCGTAGAAAAACTGCTCCGGAAGCAATCCCATATGTGAAAGAGGAAACGAATCCAGCTACGGAAGAAGATAAGAACGTAATATTTTTTCAGAAATATCATTCCTTGGGAAACCGGTGTTTATTGAAGGCAACTAATGAGAAATTGGACCTTGTCCTCACGAACGGAGGCTCGATTGAGAAAGTGAATCAGATGGAAGGAGTCGACGAGTACTTGTTCGATGGAGACATGATCCTGACCGAGTTCGTGCGAGGAATCCCTCCCGTCCTAGCGTGTTCTTGTGCAGGTGAACGTTGATTTATCATATTAGGTACTGTTTAGGGAACAAATGGCTGCGTACGAAAAGTCTGTGGGGAAACGGACCCGTAAGAAGCGGCAAATCTCTTCAAACGCCACTCGTTGGGACAACAACACGGTCTTTTACTATTTTGACGGGAGCATAAGTAAGTTCTGAGATTTTTAACCATAGTATCTTCGAGGTCGAAAAAATAAGCTCATTCCAGCTGCTCGAAATCAAGCATACATCAAAACAGTGCTCAAGTATCTCAGTGCTCGTACCTGCATTGATTTCGTGGAGAATATGACTGCACCCAATCGGGTGATGGTTTTCGATGGAGCTGGTTGTTATGCAACGGTTGGAATGGACGGAGGGGTACAGGCCCTGTCATTAGCTCCAGACTGTATGGTCGTGAGTTCGCCTTGTAATTGTATGTCACGGCAATTTACCCGACACGAGACGTCTAGATTTTTTTAAAGGTGGGTACCGTAGCGCACGAATTCATGCACACCCTCGGTGCTTTGCACATGCACATGCGACACGACAGGGACGATTATGTGAAAATCAGCTTGGATTCCGTGCCGGTGAGTAATGATTTTTTCAAGATTTTTCGATCATTTTCGAAAGAATGGATATTTGACTGTAATAAAGGATACTTAAGAATAGGGCATAATAATTCATGATATCCTAGGTATCGACCTAAAACATCCTCTTTACTAGAAAATTTTCAGATGAAAAACCATGTGAACTTTCTCAAGCCTATGCGTTCTATCATCTATACTCCTTACGAATACGGTAGCAATATGCAATATCCAAGCGACGCGTGAGTGGTGCTCTGCTCTTCATTTAAAATAATACAAAGCGATATTGAGCAATAATTACTGGTACAGTCATTTATTTATGAGTAAAGCGTTTTCTTCAGCTTTACCGATAACGGTGAGTCGATAATACCTCTTGATGGGACGTATTTCCGTACGTTAGGGTCCCAGACAATTTCATTTTACGACATCAGAATGATCAACTGGCATTACAGATGTAACGGTGAGTATAATCCTCAGAAATTTCGAATGTTTTTTCTAAGCTTTGATCTATGCAAGCAAAAAGATCGTAAAAAAGTGTGAAATGAAATTCAGGTAGGCATATTCCTTATTGATGACCGAGGAAGGATGGAAGTAAACCGGTGGGAGTTACAAGCGCCATCCTGGAACTTTTCATCCGATAAATTGGCATTCGTGCAGTGAAAAACGCAGAAATCTAAGGAAAAAACCTAAGAAATTTCAGCCCAAAAGATAAACAGGGTGTTCAGGAACGACCAAAATGACAGAAAT